TCTGTCCAGTGATCCAATGAAAATATTTCATGTGATACATGATTTTCAGTTGCTCATCAACACAACAGAAAACTAAAAACAACTTCATCTTGGTTAAAAGATGTAACCGTTTGTTTCCTCAGATGACCACATCTTCAAATTGTTTACATCACACTGACATTGTTTCAGTTCATAAATATTTGAGTCCACCGAAAAGGTGAGTAAACTCGATTTGAAAATAAAAGGTTTTCAGAGTTTACTTTTTATTGCAGAAGTGGCTATTTCCAAATGCGTGTAAAGTGCGTGTTTCTTTGTCACTGACTGCCGTATTAAGGCCCCTGCACCTGATCTGCTCGTGGCTGGTCTGGGGCAACGGCGCTTTTTAAGACAGCTGTAAAAGGCTCTCCAAGTCTCCAACACATTCATCAACGTCAGACACCGACAAGCCGCTATTTAGTGAAAGTGTAACTGCAGCAGTATATCTTAGAGCAGAGTGGACCACTCAGCAAACAATACAATGGACCTTTTTCTTCTTTGGTTGCAACCAATCTAAAACAGATTATAAAGTCGGACAGATGATTGTTGAATTGCTAAAAGAAATCATAAAAATTGCAAAATTATATGAAGGTTTAGTTTCGTTATTTTTTAAACAGTTTTAACGCGAATAATACGTTTTATTTTGCACTAGTGCACCTAAAGCAACCTTTCACCGAGATATTGTGTGTCAGTTTATTCAAAAGATTTTCTGTCAAACCAAAATGTTGCTATATATTTCTGCTGTATACATTTTATAGTCGAACTTAATTCTCTGTTGCATCGTCAGTTTAAGTGTGCCTATCTTTTCCTGAATTAATAAGACGTTTTCTATTTGAAAATGGAAAAAGTCATTTTATTCCTTTCAACGCAATTTATATTTGAATAAGTGTATATGTTCTGCAACGTTACATTGCTTAAACAAACTATTAATTATCCAAAGATCAAATATTGGGCGATAGTCCGTGTTACTACATTAAAATGAAATGCATTGCTGATCGCTGGTTGTAATCGATGTGATACCACAGCTTAACAAAACAAACAAAAATGTCAGTCGACATAGGCTAATGCAATTATAAATCTCCCCCACTATTCGCCGCGGTGGGGTTTCATTCGAGTCGTTTGCAGCTGCTGAAATTCCTGGAAAAGCTGCTCTGTGCTGCGCGGTGGACTGAGGGCTGAGAGCCGAGCCGAGCTGAGGAGAGAGAGAGAGAGAGAGAGAGGGTGTGAGGCGGTTCTTGTGTCAGAGGGTCCCACAACGCAGAGCGCCATCTAGCAAACAAAGGTAGAAACAATAATAGCATGGAAGGTCTGAGACAGAGAGGCTGTCTTTACGCACACAGCATACAGGGGCACAGAGGGACGCCACAACAAAGCGCCGCGGTTTAGCACTCTCAAACACTACAAACTTTGTGTATCATGCACGTTGGGGCGCGATCCCAGCCCAGCCGTGCCTGCTGTGCAAGCTTTCCATTTGTCCAAGATTAATACACGATCCAGCCCAAATCGATTAATGACTGTTAGTGTAACGTCTGCTGCTTTTTATTTTCCCACCGGATCAAATTGCAATAATGAGCATCCGAGGGGTCAAGATGGAAAACCAGCTGATCAGTGGTCAAGATGAAAATGGGGGAACTTTTAATGTCAAAGTGGGTGAGGGAAGGGGAGGGCAGCAGGTGACTCCCTCTCTTGACAAAACCAATCGATACTATCACTTTCAAGCTCCATCACAGCGTTTTGCTGGGGATGTGTACGTGTAGGCTGCCACAAACAAACAATACATCTTCTGTCGAGTACATAGTTGATTGTACTCATTTTTTATATATACGGTTTATGTAGTGTCTGGTGCTCTGCTGCTACTGACGGGCACTAAGAGGAGAGTTTTGACCAAATAAAACAAAGAAAAAATTTGTGGAATCACGTGTGTAAAATGGTCAATACTGTGCCTCCACATCTCTCCATCCATACCCACTCGCAGTAATCCCCCCTACTCGTCCTCACCGCAGCCATTATTTCATATACAAGGACATAACTAAGTCTTCTTCCCCGCAACATAATTTCTGGCAATGATGGAACAATAACAGCAATAGCAGTTATAGCCACACACAGTATAAGCAGTAATAATGAGGAGTAATAACGATAGCAGAGGTAAAAGCCGCATTACGAGTATTGGGGTACAATCACTGTTAGTGCAGCAATCAATGCAGAGCCATATAGCTTCACTGTGCTTCATTCATTCAGCGTATTCTTCTTGTCATTGTTCATCTTAGTCCACATTACAACCGAACAGGTTCAGAGATCTTGCAGTATGTTCAATAGGTTGTGTGAAATGAAAAGCTTGTACAATCCCAGATAATTTAATTAGTACATCAAGCCTAATTGACAGTAAAATAAATCTAAATTAACAATTCCATAAACATGGTATTGAACTGTAATACTACTAAAGGACAGCATGGGAGTGATTAGTCAGTTTTTGCATTGATATGTGGTGTCAGGGCAAAATTTCTCATATTCGGTATCTTGTCAATCGCCCCTCGACAACTAGCAATTTGTGACAATTTTCGCTCGATTAAGGCGTAAATATAATCCCCCACAGCCTCCATACTGAAAATAAAGTTTCGACTGCATGGGCACACTTATAAATAGGCCACTAATATAGTTTTAGAAATAATTATAATGAAATTGTGAATTGTGACTCCTTCCACTGCAATGTACCACACCTAATTTTATTACATATACATAATGATGAAGTGATAAATATGTGTGTGTGTGTGTGTGTGTGTGTGTGTGTGTGTGTGTGTGTGTGTGTGCGTGTGGACGCGCACGATGGAACGGTGGCTGTGCCCTCGAAGTAAATTGGGGTATATGCACGGCAGGAGAGTGCATTAATTGATTTATTAATTAATGGGAAAATGCATTTGCAGTTTTATTACATGTTCTGTCATTGTATGATATTGTTTACATTATCTACTATTCTGTTTTGAGGAGACTATACTGAATGTAATCAGCATCTGGTCATTGGTGATTTATTACATATAAAACTCCTGAGATTTATATAAAATGAGATCATCCTAATGTAAAAAAAGATGCAACAAATATTTCAAATATTACTGCCTGCCTTTCTTACTTTTCAGTGTCACAGTTGCAATATACAGCAATCAAACCATTATTTTCATACTTTCAGTTTTTTCTTTTTTCTTTATGTTTTGCCTTAGAAGTAAATCCTTGACATTCTGCACTATTACCAAAATTGTGGTATATAGCCTAGTAATCAGAAAATGATAGGCTTGCTCCAAGGCAAAGCCCTATTTTGGTGCTATAAAGAATCCTTTCAGAAAGGATCTCTTCAGCATAATGGTGCTGTAAAGAACCCTGCGTGGTTACATGAAATGCTCCACATCAGCAGCATTAAAGGAACTTTCTGACAACCACACTGGCCTCCTCATTTGAATTAATCCAGTATTTTATTTCCACAAATCAGAGGGAACCACTAAAGGAGAACCTTGGAAAGCCATTATTTTGTACACCTAAACCTCTATGATCCACCTTGGCGTCCACGTGTTTTATTTTCTACTGCATGTTCTGCAGGCCAGGCCATGGTACCGAGACCCCACCTTCCTTATATGCCCGCCGCCTGCATGGAAGGGAAAGAGTGAAGATGTGACGGGGCGTATTTGAAGTATGACGAGCTTTGTGGTCCACTCCTTTTCATTCCCTTGCCTCAAATATAGGCCTACGCCCGCTTTCAAATAAGCCTCTTTGGCAATCCCATGCCGAACCCCCCACCAACACACACACCCCCTGCCACCTTGACATGAATGGGCGACTGACCTTTAGGGCCGTGTCCACTCTGCGGTCCAGTTTTGTCCAAATAAGCCTTCTTCCCCCACCCTGCCTCATACGGTGCCAGCAATTCTTTACTGATATCATCAGCGGATGCAAATGAATTTGGACGGGGTGGGGGTGCAGGAGTGGAGGGAGTGGTGGTGTTGGTGTAGTCATGGACAAAATACCACACTGGCTGCAGAATGCTGCATGCGGAGAGTTGGGGATATTGAATACCACGCCACCAGAACCATCCTCGAATTGAATATTGAATACACATTTCTATTCCAGAAATATTGGCTGTGAAATACCACCAAGAAAAATCGCCATTCAAATGAGATGCGTTTATTTCTGCATGGCCTTTGAAGAGAGGAGAGGGGTCGTGTCACTCAAAAGAAGGAAAGGGCCACTCCGTTAAACCCCCCTCCTTTTTGCTCTCCCTCTCTCCCACCCTTCCCTTACCCTCTTCTCTCGCTCCGGCCGACCCCCACTCACTCTTCCCCACACACGCGCGCGCGCTCATACACGCACATTTTCACTATAGCACGCTGGCTTTGGGGCCGACACAGGCTAGATTAGAGCTTTGCTCCTTTAACAAGGGAGAGGAGGCACTTCTATAATCACAGCGGCGGTATGTGGGGCCACAAAGAGCTTGCAACCACAGGGCGACTGGTCTTCTGTAGAGTGGTCCAAGCCGTAGGCAAGCCAGAGAAATGCTCTATCCAACGTATTACTGGGATCAAAACACAGTGGTTATAGTGCGTGAAGAGGTGATTAACCGACAGAGCACAGCAAAAGACCACTTCTGAATCTCCACACAGCATAACCCTGGCATTGACTGACTTAAGACAATTCACCACCTTAACATGACCAGCGCGAATGATAAAGTAATTATTTAGAGTGTAGAGAGACAAATACTACATCCCTTGTTGGCGATTTAGAGTGTGTTTCAACACCGCTACTGGTACCCCAGCCTCCCTAAGCAGCAGTGTAACATGGACATACAAATTTGATGGATGGTGCTGAGTAAGATGGAAAAAAGACATGTATTTATCAAGACTCCGCATGTCCTCTGAGGTGGCTGAGAGAGAGAGTGAGAGAGAGAGAGAGAGAGAGAGAGCACACCAACCATGAGACTTAAGAGAGTCAATGGGAAACCTTACCACTGTAAGGAGCGGTTCACCGTGGCCCAGATGAAAAATACCCTGCAATGCCTCGTTACAGTCAATCATAATAGACGTACAGCAGCCTATCCAGGTAAACACAGATAGCAACAATATGAGCTGCAACTCAGACAGTAAAACAACCCATAACACAACAGTGACTAGATAGATAGATAGATAGATAGATAGATAGATAGATAGATTGATAGATTGATAGATTGATAGATAGATGGACAGATAGATAGATAGATAGATCACTCTTCAGTTCATGCAAACTATTCATGTTAGTATCTGCACAAATGCACAACTAGAATTACTCTATCGCATACACACAGGCTTTTATCATGTCACAGTAAACCTAATATAGTAATAAAATATAAACGGAATTAGGCTATTAGTCTAAAATGATTTTCACATGTGTTTAGTGGAGAGGCTGGATACCTGCTAAAAAGTTTACCAATCTATTGTCAGTGGATAATATAGCGAAGGACTACAGAGGGTATAGGCTCAGTGGATTATATCTTTACAAGCATTATTCTGCCTGAGTGACTGGCTGAAAAAAACGCACAAGCTACAACAGATTGGTCAGGCATGAATGCGGCCTGTGTGTTTTGTCTTCATAACATATTAATCCATCAAACCATGAAGTGAGGACTATGTGAGCCCTATACTTTAATGAGATAGTTTTTTGTTGTTGTTTTAAATATTTTTTTTAACTTAAAAGTCAACTTCAAAGCAGTTTAAGAAAAATCTTACAAATAAAGCATAGTAGTGTCCAAAAAAATAGTTTTTTCTATATTCCCCCCCTTTTTTAAATTTTCTATTTTTACATATATTGCAGCGAAAATGGGTCTCCAATAAATTCTTTCTCAGCATTGATGTAATTGCAACAAAAAGCTGCTGAGTAAAAATTGAGGAGCTCGCTGACTGTGGTTGCACAGTCAAACACCATCTGGAGTGTATTAGAAAGAGAAGCCGTAAATATTGCTGAAAAGCCCAGGCGTTATCAGGTATGTAAGACCGGGCCTTGCTGCATGGCCTCCCATATGTTGACATAATCAGACTGTTGGGGTGTCTATTAAAACGTATTTGAATTTAATAAAAGAGCACAGTAATTAAATGCAGTTTGTTTGTGCAGATCTCGCAATGACTCCCAGTGTTGGTCTGTTTACATTTTTTTTGGAGAGGGTGGATTATTATGGGATGAAATGCTGCAGGGCTCATGGGATGTTATCACAGTATTGAGACTGCTGTTATGTTTGGATCATGAGCAACAGGTTAACTGGCTTCAACTCCAACTTCCCTAAATTCCATTAACCTAACTGCTAATTATTATAGCCTACGCGCAGACATTAGTTATTATTAAGTGGCTTTGTCTTTTATGCTGGCATCACTTTGGAGAAACATACATCCTCTCAAACTTGACAGAATGAATTAGTAGTTCCCTTTAAGCCGCAAACGCTCTGTTACATCCGATTCACGCTTTCCCCCTTTAAAACCAAGCATTTCCTTTCCGACCATCCGGGTCTCTTTTTTCCTGGTAGGTAGTGTGATGTATTCCACACAGCATTTATGGAGTTGCACACACGCGCGCGCGCGCGCGCGCCTCCATTTCATGTAAATATGGATCTATATACCCGACATAAATTGTACACCAGTGAAAAAACTTACACTTTGGAGTTTAATGCTACGTGCTGATTAATTTCTTGGTGATGACAAGCGCACACACATAGCCTACATATATATGGATACAACACACACACAAACATAGACACACGTCCATCCTCTTTCACTTTTTACGTATATACCCCTCCTCCCCTTTCGCTCACACATCTCCCTCTCTTTCTCATTCACTCCCCCTGGCTTTATCCGTTTCAGTTCGAGGAACACACAAGAACACTGTGCAAAAGAGACGCGCACACACACAAAGAGGAAAGGGAGAGAGGAGAGGAGGAGAAGCAGAGAGAGAGAGAAAGAGAGAGCGTCAAAAAGCCTTACTTTTTCCCCTTTTTCCTGCCGTGAATCTTCATCCATCCATCGTTGACAGAGCTTGACTTGATCCAGCCACTTCTTCCCCAGTGCTAAAAAGTCTGTGCGCTTTAATTAATATATTTCTGGGCAGTGTCCCGAACCCAGAAGCTTTAGAGAGGGAAGAGGAGTGCAGATTGAGACATATTGAGCCCGCTTTAAAAGGATCATTTCATCATGTGGGAGGTTGGGACACACAAAGTTTGGACCCGTGACTGGCATTCCGGAGAGACATGCATATTTTAAAACAACAAAGCAAGATAGAGACCGGGGCCCCGGGGTGGGAGGGGAGAAAACTTGGAAAGAAGTTACTATCAGATGAACAGCTGTCATTGTTGGGCGAGACTTGAACGCATATTAAGATATAGTCATCTGAAAAAAAGGAGCTTGTCCAAATAATGTCATTGGTAGTCCCTATATCACTCATTCAGTGTTTTAATGTATTCATTCAAACATATATTTAACTTTTAACTAGAAGATTTCAATTTTAAATCATTGATATATTAATATAAAAATGTAACAAAAGCACAACTTTAACTTTTCAAGGTTGAGAGATTTTGAATTTACTGGTTTTGCTCCGACTTCTTTCTGTATGGAAGTCTGTATGTTTATTTTATTCTACATGTTTTGCTGAAGTCGTAACAGCTTTATTAGAAAAATAATGGACCAACGTATTCAAGGCAAAACACTTTCTGCAATTGTTACACTAAATGGAACCAAACGTCCAAAATTAAGCGTGGAAATGTTGCTCTACTATTGAATTAGAAATAAAATAATTATCGTTTACCTTCTCACAATGAAGCATAAAGGCTGTGGATTTTTTCAAAAATCCTGAAATATCTAAATAATAGCAGTTAAGGTTGCAATTTAAAACGTCTATTTTGTCAAGTCATACACAATTGTATCTCTCCCAAGTAAAGCCAATGTGCTTAGGGCTGTCACTTCTGCACTGCTTTTACAACATCACTCCCCCCTTTTTTCTCTGCTTTACTAGAAGGTTTTCTCTCTTGTGCACGGGGTCCATTCGTGCAAAAAGAGTGGAGAAGGCATAAATAAAAATGTGTTGGCTGTGACGAGAGATCTGTCCGCTGGAAATGAAGGGCCAGGGGAAGAAGACAAAGGGGGGAAAATGCATGCAGTGGTGTAGAGCTGGATATCTCTGTTAGTTGTCAGCGTTTAGTCCATGGCTGTGGAATGCTAATGAGTGAGGTCTCTCTCCCTTTTTTTTCTCCCTCTCTTTCTCAAACCCCCTCCTCCTGTCCACCCCCTCCCTCTCCTTCTTTCGCTCTCTCTCTCTCTCTCTGTCTCTCTCTCTAAGGGAGAAAAAGCGGATCGATAGCTGACCCGATGGTTTTGGCCAATGCTTTATTTATCTGGCCAGGCAATGATATTATCAGCCTTGAACGTTATATACAGCAAACGTCTTCCTAAATCAACACAAAGGGATCCGCTTACACAGCGATCCGGGCTTTCTCACAACCACCTCTCTCTCTCGGCCAGTAGCGCGCACACACACGCGTACGCACGCTGGTAGATACACGCTTTTATGCACGGACATGCAAAGAACGCGCCCGCACACACACAAACAGAAAGACCTCACATATGTGTGTGTGTGTGTATATATATATATATATATATATATATGTGTGTGTGTGTGTGTGTGTGTGTGTGTGTGTGTGTATACATATATATATATATATATATATAGCCTACACACAGTTTTGATAATCGTGACAAATTTGCGCGCACACACACACAACACACGGTCGCGGGGAGGCGTCCCCGGGAGGCGTCCCCTTATGCTACATTCACAACTAGGAATACTTTATACCCCGTAGGGCTGGATTTGATCCATGGCTTAAAGGTTGCCTATGAGGTCCGCGGACAGATCTCAGAACAGCACACTATAATCATAAGATATGCGTCTCTCCATTGACTGTGTAGTCAAACAACAACAAAGTCAGGCTGTTTGCTGAGATACAGCGCAAACATCTCAGGGGAACCCATTTAATTTTGGACATTTGTCCTCGTCCCCAGCCATTTTGCAAGCGTGTGTGAATGAGGTGCGTGGCAGACACGGCGAAGCACTTGTTGGCCTGTGTTGTCATCATTTTTACGCACAAGACAATATGAGAAATAAGCCGTGTCATACTTCAGAGCCCCCCCCATTCATACACGCAGCCGCTATTTGGAAATTGTTATTGTCTGAAACAACAGTATTTGTCAAATGTGACCGGGAAAACTAGGCTACTATAAATGAAATGAAGTGACGTGTAACGCCAATAGGACATTTCCACTGCTGCATAAAACCATTGGCTTGCATTGAGGGTTTTGGAGAAATAGGTTCGCTGACAACTTAGGATAATAAATGTTTCGCTTTCAGACAGATATCTCAAACGTGAAATCGCACCCAGCTGCTTGTGTAAAGCAAACAAATAGCCCCCCCGTGTTAGGAGTCCTCCACTTGTGGTTTGATGAATGAATCCAGACAAAGGTAAATGGTTATTTAACTCATTTCGTAGTAACACTTTGGTAACCGGAGTTTCCGAAATTACAGAGACACAAATGGGGCCCATAGTGTGCCACATATCCATCTCCCTTACCCACCGCAGCTAGAGTCCACTCTGACAGTGCATTTAGCCTACTTCTCTCTTAGTGCACTTCGTACGTTTACCTTTGCTTTTATTTAATTAAATATAAGTATTGATAAGAAATGTGATGACAAAACGTCTGGTTGAAAAATAATTAAAATATAGCTGATATTTGAAGCTTATTATTTCAATATTTGAAGTGTTGCCTAATATACTAATTTGAGCTTCTGTCAAAAATGGTCCACATCCGCAAATAGAAAATATCACTTTTCCTGGAGTCTTCGTGTTTTGCTTGTTTTGCATACACAGAAACGTTAATTAGGAACACATGCCACCATTTCATCTGTTTTTGAACTATTGCTTTATATAGCCTGTAGTGTAACACTTGTATAACCGAATGCTCACAGCAAGAGGATAAAAGATAGCTATTCTAGAGGGATTTAGAATACATTATGTGGAGACAACCAGCTGAAAGCTGCGTTTAATAACCTGGCAAACAATTTAGTCCAGAGCTACATAAAACAAAAACGACCTGGACTGTTGTGATGGCCATGGTGAAGTCATAGCCATTCTCTTTGAAAAACAAAAATATATTCTCACATGAAGCCTTCCTCCTTGTCCAGGAAACGATCTTCTGGATTATTAAAAAAAACACCAGTTAAAGGCAAGCAATCTAAATAATTCCACTGCTTAGGTAATTATCTGTTTTTAGGGCTGCGTTTTAGAGGCTGTTGGTTATGTGTGTCTATTATTCATTTTTGGTTAGATTCACCACATTCCACCTCCAGCAGAAAGGAAAGGCCCAATCAGCTTATTTATTCTGCAACTTTCACCTGATCTAAAGCTCCGGGAGAATCATATCCACAATAAGGAAGCACCGATCAAGCCTGAAGAAATATCACATTTATGCTTGTACAGTAGCTTAGGCAACAACAAGGCTTCTGACAACTGACCCAGTGCTACACACAGGTCGATTAGGAGCTAATAAGTAGTACAATATACCTGAACAGACATTAATCATTAGAATGAAAACTGTATCCCTGTGAGAGAGCATTTGAGGACAGCCTAAAACACAACATAGGCTTTAGCATCATTCCAGCATGAGAGCGAACTAATTAATACCTCAATATTGTAGCCTTTGAACGAGACAGGAAATACAAACAAATACACCACTGGCAAAAATGCACCTCCCCCTATAAGGCAGATAACAAATATGGCGATATCAAATTCAGACATAGCAACGTGCTACATGCAGTTCGGCTCCTGACCTGTCCCTCATCACTGCCAGTCAGCAGATGAAGATGTGGGCAATATGGCACACAAGCAACACGTCTGGTGATGAAGGGTGTGTGTGTGTGTGTGTGTGTGTGGGGGGGGGCAAATAGGCAAATATAATAATTGTCGCACCAAAAGGCTTCTTCATAACGCCTTCCAGTTTATCGCATTTTATCACTCTAGGTGTGAGTGTAACGCAGTAATGACAGTAAGGGTCGATCTAGGTCCATAACTGGGCTTCCTGTGTCATTTTTGGATTATATGGAGACAAAAAAGGAGGGAACGCACATACAGAGACAGACCAATGCAAGGACAGAAACTCTCTGTAACCCATCTAACACACTGAGGACTTATCGATGTACTCATTACATTCTGAATGTATCAGGCAAACCAAGGCCACATCTCTTTCTGTCTCTCTCTCTCACACACACACACACACACACACACACACACGCCTTCCTTCTCACACGTTTCCCCTCTCGTTTGTCTCTGCACTGGCTACATAGTCTCTCTACCCCTTTCTCTCTCTCTCTCTCTCTCTTTCTCCCTTCTCCTTCGTCCTCTCTATTCCCACACAATGCATCACACTTGGTGTTCCTATCGACTGGCTTACATGCTGTAAAATACATTTTCCAGATTGATCACGCATATCACAGCAGCTTTGCAGCGGGGCCTAACCCTTTTGCCAAATGACGCCCACATCAATATTGAGGCATGCACTATCAAGGCAGAGTTTTTAAGGACGAGGGAGAGGGGCATATTGTTTGGTTTGTGAGGAATCACCTTGATTAAGCCACGGGAGGTAGGATGGAGGTGGCTCTGTGTGGTGCGCAGGCTTTCCTTGCTGTCTGGGAAAAATATTAAACATTAATGCGCTCACAGGCTGGCAGAGTGCTCACTGCTGTAGTTCCTCACGTATAGCCTTCCCCTCCTTTGTGTTCACATTGCCAGTTATGTCAGTGGGTCTGTTAAAATGTAAGGTATGCACCCATAGTGTAATTACCACACTTAATCCCGTGTATCGTCTCGTTTTCACTGATATGTGTATTATAGGCAAACAGTGTATTCAGAATTACGTTTCCGTTTAATGGCAATGCAGGATAGTGAATCAGTAACTGTATGCTGCACTTGCGCTTTTCTTTTAGGAACCAGGAGCGCACAGAGACAACAGATTCCCTCATGTGGTTTAAAATAAGCCCGGGCATGTTGACATTTGCATCCAGGAAAATGCTTGAGAATGAGACATCGTTGCCTATTTCTTTTTTTTAATAGTACAGTCACCATCACACAACTTCATCAACCGACCCTTCTGCAAAAAGCTGCATCATGGAGTAAGCAAATTGAAGGCAACAACCAATAAAATTCAAGAAACAATGAAAATTTTCAAGACGAAACAAACAAAATGTATTTGAAAT